GCATAGGCAAGCCCCGCTGCGCTCGGGCACGGACGTGCGGCGGGTGGCCTGTCCAGCGCGCCTGGAGGCATAGGCAAGCCCCGCTGCGCTCGGGCGCGGACGTGCGGCGGGTGGCCTGCCCAGCGCGCCTGGAGGCAAGGCCCGCCGCCGAGCTCGGACGCGCGCTCCGCTGCCCGCTCCGCTCACCTGCCTCCGCTGCCGCGCGCACTATGGCGCCGCGGGAGGTTCGGCCTTGGACTCGTCCTCCGCGATGCCCTGCCGAGGCGCCGCGGCCAGGAGGAAAGGGCCTGCAGTAAAAACTGAAACTACTTATTTTATGAGCGGTCGTGTTGCCGGCCGTGAAAAATTGCGTGTGTGCGGGAGAGAGAGAGAGAGAGAGAGAGAGAGAGAGAGAGAGATGGTATCTCCTGCAAACAACAAAACACGTCGAGTGGGAGGGGGCAATACTGCCCCGCGGGGGTGAGTTTGCGGCCGGGGTGGGGACACACGCGCAAGTGTCGATGACTTTCTAGCTGTGCAATTAGTGATTTGGCTCAGTTGGGAGCGGCGGCGGCAGCAAGGCGAACAGGCGAGCGGATCACATGTTTTATTTCCGTCACCAAGCCAACAAACAACAACTGTAATGAAAAGTTTATTATTTATCGCTGCAGCATATGAAGTAAATCATCTCGGAGGAGAAGGCAAGGGTTGCCGGCGCGCGGGTCCGGCTAAGAGGCCTTGCTCGGCCCGGGCCGAGGGGGGCTCCCTGCTGACGGGATGTGTTGCAGAAAGTCGTCTAATTTAGAGTTTTAATTGGGCGCATTAATTATAAATCCGCCCGGAAATGAATCGGCGGCTCAGTGTACACAACAACTATGGGAGGAAGAAAAAGGAGGGAGGCGGAGGGGTTGGGGCGGCGGGCGGCGGAAGGGAGAGCGGCTATGACTTTATTCGATACTAATTATTCGGTGCTGGCGATGACAGGCCTAACAGGTTCAATTAATTTATATTGGGGGGTTCGGCGAGGAGGCTGCCCTGCCGCCCTCAGAAACCTAATCTTTATTTTAAATTATTTTGTACAATTTTTTTTATTGTGCAATGAACTTGGGGTGGTCACGTCGTGGAATTATCTATGTTTTGCCAAGCGTCTATTTTCTTGCGATTTATTGTAAATGTCGTCGAACATCTTTACTGGAATAGTACAGTGAGTGTAGATATAAAATGATTGTTGCTGTATAAAGGGCACTACTCGCATTTTTTTATATCCTTTAATTTTTTGATGATGTCCTGTCAGGGGGACGCTTATCTCCTCTGGCCCTCCTATTGGCTCGTCGCGCTACATCCGGCTGGTCCACCACGACCGGGCTGCTGTGTCCAACGGCGACGACGGCTTTTGGCCAGCGCAGGGCACGGCGCCCGCCGCCGGCGGAGAAGTAAGGGAAGGGCGGAGCGAAGGAAGTTTCTCCCGCTCTACCAACTCCACGGTCCTCACAGTCGCCAAGGGCGAAAAATTGAATTAAGGGTTGGCTGGGAGAGGAAGCGGGAGGGAAGGGGGTGTAGGGAGAGGGAGGAAATAAAAGGAGAGGGACCCGCGGCGGCGGCCGGCGGTGCCTTGCGACGTGCAGGGCGTGCTAATGAGCGCCGGGACAGCCTTAAAGAGGCGGTGCTGTCCCGCTGTCTCTGGTACCTTCTGGGGCACACACACTGACACACACGCACACACACACACACACACACAGCGAGTTTTGGACTAACTTGACATGCTGCGGGCCACCACGTTCGCGGGCATCCTGTCGTCGAGGAATTGGCTGAGAGGCAGCAAAGCCCATGAATCCACTGAAATTGTTTGTCTGTGAGCACACTATAGTCTAACAAACGTGTTCCCGGGATAAAATGTTAACTGAGGCAGGGCTGAGGTCACATTGCTGTTACCTGGGTACATCTGAGTAAAAACGCGATTAGCTCGCAATTGCTGATTCAGCCATATTCAGCTCTAAAAATGCTGAGCTGGGGACCATTCCGAGCTAACAATTAAGTGATGACTTTGTGCACATGTTTTCAGTATTTGCCAGCATCGAATACAGGAGCTGAGATTTGGTGACAATAACTGACGTAGCCATTACCGCGTACTTTAGCTATACTCAGGCTTTGACATCTACCTGAATCTAACTGACAACACGCTCTCAGTATTTGTCACTTATTCTCGGTCCGCTGCCCACTACTGACGAATACCGATAACACGCCCAGACATTCGTCAGCTAATTGTCAGATGAAAACACTCTTCGGCTCAGTTAAACGAAGAGCTGAAAATTACTGGAAAAAGCAGAATCAGCAAATCTCGGCAATGTGTGCGTCGACTCAGCTTTGGTCGCGAATCGGCTTCGTCTCTTCAGTTATCGAATCGAGAGAATATTGTACCTGAGGCAGAGCGCGACCAAAGCTGAGTCGACGCACACATTGCCGAGATTTGCTGATTCTGCTTTTTCCAGTAATTTTCAGCTCTTCGTTTAACTGAGCCGAAGAGTGTTTTCATCTGACAATTAGCTGACGAATGTCTGGGCGTGTTATCGGTATTCGTCAGTAGTGGGCAGCGGACCGAGAATAAGTGACAAATACTGAGAGCGTGTTGTCAGTTAGATTCAGGTAGATGTCAAAGCCTGAGTATAGCTAAAGTACGCGGTAATGGCTACGTCAGTTATTGTCACCAAATCTCAGCTCCTGTATTCGATGCTGGCAAATACTGAAAACATGTGCACAAAGTCATCACTTAATTGTTAGCTCGGAATGGTCCCCAGCTCAGCATTTTTAGAGCTGAATATGGCTGAATCAGCAATTGCGAGCTAATCGCGTTTTTACTCAGATGTACCCAGGTAACAGCAATGTGACCTCAGCCCTGCCTCAGTTAACATTTTATCCCGGGTTAATTCATAACTTTTTCAGCAAAGCTCACAAATTTTGAAATGTTTATTTCCCGTTTTGTTTTCAGTCGATATTTTGGCAAAAAACTCTATTCAAATAATGCACGACCATATGTTTTATACACACTTTGTAACGTTTGCTGATATTATATGAAAACGGTTAACCATCAGAACGGGCAGTGTGAGTGCGTGTAAGGTAAGAGCACCTTAAAGTAAACGAACTCTATATGTCCAGTTTAAATTATATATTTGGACAACACGTAAAAGCTGAAACATGTTGTGTGATGTGTGCAGCAATAAAAATAACATTGAACATTGTATAGTGCTACTCGAATTTTGGAACAATCTTGCAATCTACGGCCACGCATCCGTGCACGTTTTCAGCTTTTCCTAACATTATTCTCAACCTATAGTTTGCATAAGGCATGATTGGAACATTTGGAAAAGTCCAGTTTACTGGGGTGTTATTGACCTCGTAAACTCCCTGTAGATAAAGGTAATCACAGTCTTTACATTAATAATTAAACTGTCTATAAAGCAAGAAAAATAAATACGTTACAGTGCGGCGATAGTGAAGTTGCAGTCCAAGTACTTACTTTCACTGCGCACGCGCCTTTAGTTTCTTTCTTCAACACTGACTCGTAGAATCCTGGGATATTTGTTCTAACAGCTTGACATGCATTCCTTCTAAAATAAAAGATAAATGCGTTTTCCTTCCATTGATTGTTTGACCAATTATCCGCAACCACTTTAATCTGTTATTAAAACGAAGATTTGGTGTGTAATCGTTTCTGAATGCGTACGCATCTCTTTACAAATTTTGCAATGGAAATAGATCGTGCGCACTGCGAACGTTAACTTTGTAGCATGCAAACAATATAGTTCGTTTATACACAAGAACTTAGACTTACATACAAATTTGTTTGTACTCTGAAAATGTAAGAGTAGGAGGACGGAGGACGGTTCTTCTTGAACGAGTAGGAAAAATAAAACAGAACTGCTATATTCGATTACAAATTAGTGCTCACGTCAAAAAATTGTTCACAGCTTTCATACAATGTGTAGTTTGTTATACAAAGTTTTCGTTCGCAAGTTTGTGCTCTACAAATTTAACAACCAAGTACTTAAAAGTGAGTTCCAAAATGTATCATTGCCCATGGAGGACTTTATCCTAAAGAAGAAGAACAGGAAAATCGTCCAGAAACACAAGAAAACGGCATTTGGTGAGGCCTGGTCATCTCTGTTCTCGACCAATCATAGCTCAGGAGAAATGCTTCTGGGTGATGAAGAATGTAGTTTTCCAACACACATGAGTTAATACGGCTGCACAGTACACACATGTGGATGACATGCACAGTTTATTTGTTTGAGCCACTTGAACATTCACTTTTAAGTGTTTGGATGTCACACACTTCTATTTAAGATGTGTTACCCAACAGCTGTTGTCAAAAGTTACATTTGCAAACGTGACATTGCCTGTCACGAGTTGTAACTCCCTTGGTTTGTATGGGTTAAAGTGAGTGACACGCAAATGCCAGCTCCATGGAAGCGGGTGGTTGTCTGGTTCACACAGGTAAAAGCGTTCAGCGTAAGCAATGAAGGGGCCCTGTTACAAAAAAACAGATGCGAAACCTCGCAGTTAAGAAACATGTCTCAACGAACGCGGATTTAAAAGTGACACCAAGTGACTACCAACGATATTTTGACAAATCTGTGTTGTTGTTTTTTTTTTTTTGCGTTATGGTTAAGGCACATTATTGACAAATAACCCAGTGAGTAATGGAGTTTCGAATCGACATCAACTTCGTTGATTTTGTGGACCAAATTGAATCGATATCGAGTCGAATTTGCCTCTGTCGATGATGATCGACCATTTAACCGAGATGGCATTTCTCACTGGGAAAATAGTCCAATCTTTCAGATGTGTAATATAACTTACAATCAACGAGTTGAGAGGTTTGCTATGGATGCCCTCCTGGCACATGAGTGCTACGAGGAGCACAAGTAGGAATGGCATGCTGGATCACCACCGTGCTGCAGCACACTGCGACCTCCTCTCCTCTATGGGATTATGCGCGACCCATCGGCACTGTGGCCGGCTGGCGTGCAATACTTTTTAATGCCGGATGGATGGATGATCAAGTGCGGCTCGTTTCGTCCATGCACAATCTGCCGAAAGGATGAGAAAAAACTGTTGTTGTTTTTTTTTTAAATATATACTGCATGTAAAACTCCGATTGAAAATTAAAGACGAGTGCTTTGTGAGAGATCGCGAAGACTGTTACTCAAGACGTCGTCCGTCGGTAGTGTGTGGAGTTCAAGACATTGTGTAGAAATTTTAGCTTTAGCCAATTGATACGAATACATAAACACACTTTGCGACATAGACGAAAGATGTATGTGACACATGTCGCATTAAGTTTTACACCTGCCTGTCACCCATCGAATTCTAGCGAAGTATGACCACATTGGAACCACGCGGCACTGAACCTGTTAATACTCCTTCCTGCGCCGTAATCCCCTCCTTCCCCTCAATCACACCAGTTCCGGCCTATTTCCAGCCCCCCGTTCTTCCCTTTCTTCCGGCGCTGCCGACGAGGACGAGGTTAGACGTAATTGTTATTTGGCCGAGAGAGCGCAGCGAGCCGCGATTGGCCACGCAACCGGGATCAGTTTCAGCCACCGGGCCAATGAGAGACAGATCTCCGGATCCGGCACTAGGCGATCCCGTTCCCTCGCCCCGGGGAGCACTATATCAGACATTTAGAATAACTTTCAGTGATATGCCTCCGAAAGGCTTAGAGAGCTGCAGGTTATATGGTCGTGTACTCGGTAGATCGAGAGAGAGAACACGGAAAAACAGGGACACCAAGAGTAAGTCAGAGGGTGAGAGAGAGAGAAAGACAGAGCGAGAGAGAGGGGGGGGGGAGAGTTGAAGGAGAGTGCGCGAGAAGCGGGCATGACGAACGTACGCCGCGATAACACGACGGTGCAGTCAATATTCAATATTCTCTCCGTCCCACATATGCGCTGGAGAGGGGGGGGGGCACAATTTCACATCGAGTCAGTCCGTGCACGCACGGCCCGATACACAGCAGGGTGCCCGCCTTCCCACGGCCGAGGGGATTTCCCTCTCTCCGGCGCGCGCGAACTGAACGTGAAAGTGAATGTGTGTGTTCCGCGGAGCAGCCAATCGCTGGAGAGAGAGAGAGAGAGAGAGAGAGAGATGGTGAAGGAGGAAAAACATGTCGAGTCGACCACCGGAAAGCATAGAGATGGGAAGTAAGAAAACGCTGGAAAAAAATATGGTTTATTTTTATATTTTGCTTCGTATTTCACATGAACTCTATTTCGTGCAGATGGTGTCGTTCGGCCCGTCTCTCTTTTCCACACATCGCCATGGTGTACGACTGATCCGACGCCGTGCGAGAGTCAGAGATGGGCGCGGTGGCGATGCGTCGGGTGCGTCTGTCGAGGGTGGGAGGGGGGTAGATTTCCCCTGGGTGCCGTTCGCCGGCTGACCGGCGCACCAGACAGGTACAGGTGGTGGTTGTGTGGTCGGCGGCGGTAGCACGGTGGCGCTCGGGGTGGGTACGTTCTACTCGGCGAACGGCACCGTTTCCAATTTATATTCACACCCCGGCCCAGGAGTTGACCGCAGCGACCACCACAGCGGCCGTCGCGTCAGGGGTGAGTGGAAGGGTGGTGGGGAGGGGGGCTAAGAGCATGCTTGCTGCTCGTCCGTGCATACCATCCCCTTTCAGACTGACCTTGAGCCTTGAGCCGTGGGCGCCAAGGGTTGCCTAGGAGGGCGTTGCACTTGCGAGGGAACTTTCTTTTCAGCTGACTTTTACCTTTCGTTTTCTGTAAAAATAAAATTTATCATTTTTTTTATTTTTTTTGCAGAATGGTGTCTTTTAAGGATTTTCTTCCATCTATAAACATCGCGATATTTTTAATTTTTTATTTTTTTACATTTCTCTTTAGTACGGTTGCGCTTTTATGGAAGCGCGTTCACAGCACCGCCGGCAACGTGTCCGCACCCCGCCGGCCCCCTGACGCACCGCGCACCGGGGCGGCGCCCCGCGGTCCCAAGTCGGCTGCCGGCCTCTTTGAAGTCCCCCCCCTGGCCTGGCCAGGCCGGGCCTTGCAGTCCCGCGGTGCGTTTTGATAATTTTAATTTAAAGTTCAGTGCACCCTGGCGCCCTTCATGTTGTGGCCCTCGCAAAGCGCAGCGCCGGGATTGCGGAATGCGAGCCCGGCCGGGCGCAGCGGGGCCGAGCTTGATCCAAGTGGAGGCGCGAGTGGCACAGCGACGCACAGCAACGCGCAGCTGGGCCTGCTAGAATTTTAATTTGCGCTTTGCACTCGCTCAGTCAGTGTACAGCTCTCTCTCTCCTCTCTCTCTCTCTCTCTCTCTCTCTCTCTCTCTCTCTCTCTCTCTCTCTCTCTCTCAGATTTTCGGAAACCTTCAGGCCAGCCTCCTGGCCGTTATTCCTGGCCCGATCTATTTACTGATCTGGTGGCCTCCCACTCACCACAGGCATGCGGCAGTGTCAATTATTGGCTGAGCGATTAGCGAAGCCTATTACTCCAGTGATGATCAAAAAGTTTCGCGTCTGTTTGTCTGTCTGTCTGTCTGTCTGTCAGCTGACTAGTCTGTCTGTGTGTCTGTTTGTCTGTCATCACGATAACTCGAGAACGAACTTAGCTAGCGACCTGGGATTTTCAGGGTCGTTTTGTGTCATAAAAAGACAGATCAGGTTCGAAGAAGAGCATTCTAGCTCAAAAATTGGATTTTTAAAAAATCAAAAACCACAGGTCCCACAAATAACGTTTTTTAAAAATAATTTTTTTTTACAGTTTCCTAAGGGGTGACTCGTCAAATAAGAGCCCTCCGGGCGAAAATTTCGTCCGTTTGGCTCTATCTCTAACCGTTAAGGCGCTAGAGGGAGCTTTCCACACAAAATTGACCCTAACTTCAATGTTTTTTCTCAGATATTTCATGGTCTCTGATGTGTCAACTCTTCAAAATAAAACCCCGGTGAGCAGGGTTTCTGACTTTTGGAGGCGGAGGACTATTTACGACGCTTTATCTTGCCCGACCCGGGTGTCAGCGCCGCAGGCCTAGGTAGATGTATGCCAGGCGCGTCGCAGCGTAACAGTGTTTCGTGAGATATCGCGAAGCCTGTTACGCGAGACGTGGTCTGGCGTACATCTACCTAGTTTAAAATAACCTGCTATTAACTATAAGCATGCGAGTAAGCACAACCACCACAGAAAGCACATTGAGCGCGGCTTGACCATCATCGTTTTGTTTCATCGTTCCCAATATAACGTTTCACATATCGACAAGTCCAAGTTGGAAGGTATTGTTATAAAAGAAGTGTAAGTGCACACATTGTATTTAATCTGTGGCAATTGATTTTTCACGTGTGTAAAATGCATTTCATTTCTGGTTGAGCAGTGTAGTCCAGGCGCGCGCACTGGCGCGGGCTCGCGCGCCTCTCGCAAAACGCTCTGCGCGGGCCATTGAGGAGGGTCATAACAGGCGAATTATGTCGGCAGCAAAACGGGGGTCTTTATGCTGTGCAAACGAACGCGTCGCGCGGCCAGTTTGTTGCCGATTGTTGTTGGGGGCGCCTTGCCTTGCGAACTGTGCTGCTGCTGCTGCTGCGCACTGCCGATGTAAGACGGCCAAAGTCATTAACTTTCTTCTCGCTCCAACTCGTTCTGCTCACCCCCCCCCCCTCTCCCCCTCCCTCTCTTTCCCGTCCGTTCACACCCCTCTGTACACCAGGAAGCTGTAAACCAAATACAGTATGCGGGCGTTTGGGTCGCCCGGCCCGCAGTCCTCATGGCGGTCCGCCCCACCCCGCGTCGCTCTCCGCAGTCCTCATGGACTTTGCTTTTGACTCTAATGACCAGCCGCGCAAACACTGCCAAAGAAAATTGCAAACGATAAAGGGAGAGTGCTGCTAGCTGCCCTCCGTGGGAATGATATCGCATTCAAGGCGGGGCCGAGGCGAGCTGCTGCTGTGCGCTGAGCTGTGATCCGTGGTGATGCGAAAGCGGCAAAAGTCACTGCTTGATATCTTCATGACTTCCGTAGTTTACATTTTCACACTTACTTAGGTTGTTTGTACGTACTTGGTACAATGAGAAGGAAACTGTAAGTAGTTCTCAATTATAAATAAATACTGTACTTTCTAAATGTAAAGGGGCAATTTTGTTTCTAGAAAGGCAACGTCTTTGTGTACATCCAGAAAGGATTCAAATTGTGTTCCTAAAACCGGACCAAATGTGTACAGTTCAAAGTTCCTGGATGTGCATGAAAGCGTTGCCTTTTTAGGATCAAAATAATTGTCCCAATATCTTGCTCTAGTAGTGTACCGTAAGTGAGTTACCCGGACCAAGTCTCTGCATAGAAAGAAAGCCGTTTTGACACAACTGCTTTTAATTTTGGCGTGTAGGTCGTAATTAGCCGCACAATTTGGCCACATGTCACGAGGATATGAGCGAAGGTTCCTGTTTCCCTTCCTCGAAAGTTATTATTGGTGAGGGGCTTGGGGACCTCACGGGGACGTGGACTGGCGGGGCGGGGCGGGGCGTGGTGCCGTGAGGGGGGGTTGGCACCTCTTCCCCGCGCAACCCTGGCCCCTTGCCATCACCCACGTTCCGTGTTGTAGCGTCCCCTCCAGTGGCGTAGTATTGGCTTTTAGTGTCCACATATATATTTCCGATATATTTACAACTACAACCCTTCCTGTCAGATTTTCACGTGATGTAATGAACGCACATGTAGAGTAGAGGTGGTCAGTAAGGCCACGTCTGAAACGGCAGATAAGCCCCATGGCGTCTATCTTACCCGTCCACAGACGAGTGGGGTTCTGACGCAGTCCCATGATCCGGCCGCGTCCGCTGCTGTTCATCTGCGGCTGTGCAGGCATGGTGCTGTGGCCTGGACTACAGGCAATTTCTTAAACAAATTTTCGAGATTTAGACCGCAAACTGTTTTAAAAGTCAAGATAAGGGTCAAAACGAGGAAA